CTGGCAGCAGCAGCGCTACACGCCGCGCCAGATCATGTACGCGGCGAACGACGCGTGGGCCTGCCTGCGGCTCGCGCGCACGCTCTTGCCGGTCGCGCCGCGGCGCGAGGGGCGGTCGACGCGCGCGGCGGCGGCGGCGCGACGGCGCTTCGCGGACCTGTCGACGGAGGTGCTCACGGGGCCGAATCTCGAGCGCATCGCCGCGGAGGCGACGGAGACCGACGACGTCGTGGAGTTGGACGAGACCCGCGTCGCCTGCACGCGGCACAAGACTCGATCTGGTGCGCAAGCGCGCGCGGACTCGGAGAGCGACGACGACGACGACGACCTGGGCGTCGACGAGGAGGACGTCGCCGCCGCCGGCGCGCTCGACGCCGCGGAGGCGCGCGCGCGAACGGACGCGGCCGGCGCCGACGACGGCGGCCTCGAGGCGCCCGAGGCGGTCTTCGACGCGGCCAAGCGCCGCGTCCAGGAGTACGCGGAGTCGCGCCGCCAGGACGACATGGAGCTGCCGTCGTCGCTCTCGACGGAGCAGCGCCGCGACGTCCACCGGATCGCGGAGGGCCTCGGGCTCTTCCACCGCTCCGTCGGCGTGCCCGGCGATCGGCGACTCGTGATCTCGGCTTTCGCCGCGCCGCAGTCGCAGCTCGCGAGCGTCGGCCCGGGCGTCGTCAAGGCGCTCGTGGCGCGAGACGTCGAGGGCGACTGCGTCCGGGGCCGCGTCGCGTCGTTCGACGAGGCGCGCTGCCGCTGGAACCTCGAGTACTCGGATGGTTCCGTCGAGCCGTCGGTCGACGTCGACGTGCTGAATCTGAGGATCCGCCGGCGGCACGCCTTCGACACGAGCTCGCAGGGCGACGCCGCGGCCGCGCTCGAGCCGGGCAGCGTCGGCGACGACGCGCGGAAGGCGGAGCTGGCCTCGTTGCTCGAGGGCGTCGACCCGAACTGGGCCTCGTCAAAGTGGTCCAAGCTGTCCTACGACATCTGGCACTGGATGAAGAACTGGCGCACGATGCTCGCGGTCCACACGCGCTCCGAGCTCGCGAAGACGTTCAACGTCATGGCGTCGGAGGCCTTATTCACGATTTGCGAGGGCGAGTGGGACCGCCTCGTGAAGCACCTCAAGCACCCCGCGGGCGGCCGCATGACGGACGAGCAGATCGCGAAGATCCGGCGGTCGTACAAGCGGAAGATGTGCCGGTACGCGGTCCCGGGGCCCGACGTGCTCGTGCGGCGCCTCTACGACATCTACTGCCTCTTCGACGGCATGATGGACCCGGAGCGCCC